ATGGCTTATGTTCTGAAAGCAAATATAATTTCATGGTTTATGTTCTGAAAGCAAATATGATGTTCTGAAAGCAAATATGATGTTCTGAAATATGTTTAGTTAAATTTTAAACTACTATAAGATTTCTTAATTTATTTTTTCTGAATATAAAGTACATTTTTTTAATTTGTGCATACTTTTTAATAAATCTAACCTAGATTGTTTATTTGTTTATTATTTTTATTAGATTGTTTATTTAATTTTTTTATTAAAAAATTAGTATTAACATGTTTTGAGATTTTTGAAACAAAAATGTTTGACTTTTTATGTTTTTAAGATTTAATATTAAATATTTTTAAATAAAATTAGTTTTATGAGTCTATTTAATTATTTTCTCTATTTACTTTTAAAACATCAATTATCATTAATAGATGGTTGCTAATCACAAATTGTTGGTTATCACAGATTGTTGATTATCACAGCAATAGTCTGTGATAGTTGAGATTAATAATTATCACAGATAGTTGATTATCCCAAATTGTTGATTATTCAAGATTGGTAGTTATGACAAGTTCTTAATTATTGCATATTGTTGATCATCACAGATAGTTATTTATCACATATTGTAGGCTATCACAGATTGTTGATTATTACAGTTAGTTAATTATCACAGTTTGTTGATTATTCCAGATTGGTAATTATGACAGGTTGTTGATTGTTGCATATTGTTGATTATCACAGTTTGTTGAATATCACATAATGTTGACTATCACAGATTGTTGATTATTACAGTTTGTTGATTATCACAGAAAGTTGATTATCACAGAAAGTTGATTATCACAGAAAGTTGATTATCACAGATAGTTGGACTCAAGATGAGTAATGAGAAATTTTAAAAATAATCATTTTATAAAAAAATTATTTTAGATTTTAATGTATAGCAACTAAAATTTTTTTAATTGTATAAAATTATATATAAAAATTTTAAAATTGTATAATGTATAGCAACTAAAAATCAAAAAAGTTTTTACACGATTCTTTGATTATAATTATTTTTTTTTTTTATGTTTTTTATTAAATGATTGTTATTTTTGAAATTTTTATAGCTTTATTTGAGACCCAACAAGACATACTTTTAAAAAACTTTTTTTTTTAAATTAATATCAGGCACCCAATTGATGTTCAAAGGTCTTAAGGCACCTTATAAATATTTGTTATTCAAAAAAATTTGAAATCCAGTGTTCTTTTATCATATAGAACACATTAAGGTGCATGCTACAGATATTTTTCAAAAATATTGTTTTTTAAACCACCCTAATGTATATGTTTTTTAAACCACCCTTATGTGTTTGTTTTTTTAAACCACCCTAATGTGTATGTTTTTTTAAACCACCCTAATGTATATGTTTTTTAAACCACCCTAATGTATATGTTTTTTAAACCACCCTAATGTATATATTTTTAAAATACTTTATAGTATTATATGTTAAATGTTGTAAAGAAGAAGGAAATAAAAAAAATAAAAAAAAAGTTTTGATTTAAAATGTTTATAGAATAGAAAAAAAAATGTTTGTTGAATAAAAATATATAGTTATTTATTTAAAATATACAGCCAATTACAACAGATCACAATTATATTTATAGGTTAAAATACATGAATCAGAAGTAAAAGCATGTTTCCTAACAGATAGGATATGTAAAAAAACAAATAAGATATGTAAAAAAACAAATAAGTTATGTAAAAAAACAAATAAAGTATGTAAAAAAACAAATAAAGTATGTAAAAAAAAATGAAACAGTATCACCAAAGAAGTAATGTTGATAGATCAAAATCAATTTTATAATTTATAATAAGTTTTATCCCTTTTGTGAAAAATAGTAACTCAATTTACAAAAAAACATAGCACAAAACAACATAACAATATAACATGTAAGATCAATTTACACATCAATTCATGTTATCATCATGTCATCATCAACTTGAGTTTAATAAATTTTTTTGATTTTCTTTTTCTTTTTATAGATGAAAACAATTATATATTTAAGACATCATACACTTTTAAGTATTTGATGGCATTAGTGTCTGGTATATGGATTGTTAGCTTCCATTGTAAGTTTCATTTTAAGTTTCTTTTTTAACTACATTGTTTTGTTATTTTTTCATGAAATCAGCAGGACAAAAATAATATTTGTGTTACAAAAAGGTTAGTTTTTAAGTATAACATAAGTGTTACAAAAATGTTAGTTTTCAAGTATAACATAAGTGTTACAAAAGGTTAGTAGTATTAGTTTAATACCTGATGTTATTTTATTTGTTGGTACAAGTTTTACTTGTTTGTATTAATTTTTCGAACTGATAAATATTTTTTAATTTGAGAATTTTTTATTTTTTTCTAATTAATAATTATTTTGGGTAAACAGGTTTTTAAATCTTTTTAGTAAAAAGTATTTACTTGTGCAGCATTTATGCACATATGCAGATCTAGATTTGCATATGTGAATACAAAAAAAATATTCTTGTGTTAGCCAGACCACTCTAATAATAAACAAGTTGTGATGCGTGCCTTCGGCGCACACAAAATTTGTATGTTTTTAAAAAATATTTGAGTAAAATAATTTCAAAGTAAACCTTTCTGGGTTTTTTCCTTTGTATAGAAACTACATGCTTATACTATCCTTCAATATATAATAGCTCTGCTCACACTTTCATTTTATTTTTATAAATTTATTTTTTAAATAAGATAGTATTTAACATTACAAAGTATTTTCAAAAAACACATTTTTATTTTCACAAAGAATTATAGGCAACTTAGTTATCGATCATTGTAATAGTTCTTTATAAGGTATGTTATAGATTTGCGTTTGGTTATCTGGTAAATAAATTTTTATGTCATCTATGCATTGCACTTGTGATTAAGCAGTCTATAATTACCCGAAGTATAATTGCCATTGTATAATTGTCCAAAGACTGGTTTTGGTAGATATAAACCGACTTTTTTAAACATTTACCCCTGACTTTTGTTAATTGTCATCGCAAATGATAGTCAAGCTGGAAACTGATGTTGACGCAAACAAAATGGTTGTGTCTGGTTGTTCAGGCATATCGTAATCTGCTGGTTTTGGTAGATATAAACCGAATGTTACGCAAAAGGGAGAAAGAGGAAGGTCAAGATAACAAGGGGAAAAAGAGACAAGAGGGTGTATCACACAAGGACGGAGGGGTCATAAATAGACTTTATGGACGGCCGCTTACGCTATTTATGCAGCCGATTAGATATTTCTCGAGCCGTTCAATAGTAAGTCTCATTCCATTGCATAGTCTGTTTTTGACGTCAAGATTCCTCATTAACATTACAATTAGAGATGTACCGGATATGATTTTTTACGTTTCCGGCCGGATACGGATATGCCGGATATAAATTTGTATATCCGGCCAGATATACCGGATATGTAAAAGAATTTAAAAAAAAACTTGTAAAAGAATAAGAGGAAACAAGGTTTCTAGAGGTGCCCCCTCCCCTAGTGATGCCCTATTACTTAGGTTTATATATATATATATTACTTAGGTTTATATATATATATATTACTTAGGTTTATATATATATATATATATATATATATATATATATATATATATATATATATATATATATATATATATATATATATATATATATATAAATGAAGTATAATATATTATACTCATACATTTTTAAGTTATTGTAACTGTTATTTTTATTTGTAATAAAGCCTTTACTTTCTTCTTCAAAAGTTTTCGTTTCTTTTTTTCTTTTTCCCAAATTTAGAAGTGATTAGTGAATAATCAAAAAAATTCAACAAATTGAAAAATCTTAATAAACTTTGCTGTTTGATTTTCAAAACAAACGTGTTACTTTAGCAATTTTTTCAAATAATTTTGCAATCAATAGTTTTTTATTTATTACAAAAAACACATATTTAAAATGAAAAACAATTAATTACAGAGACTTTTTTTGAAAAAATGCCAAAACATAGTTACTTTTTTCAATAGCGTCACTTTTAAGTAAAATAAATAGAAAAAAGTAATTATGTTTTAGCATGGTTTTTGCATGCGCTCACTAAAGTATGATAGCTTATATACTTAAAATAGATGCTTTTACAAAAACTTCAAAAGAAACTGTCTTTAAACAATTTGATTGCTTTCCTTTTATTGAAGAAAGCGATTATAATGTTTAAGCTTGGTTTCATTTCTGTTTTTAGTAATTACATTAAAAGTTTAAAGCAAATGATTTCATTACAAATAAAATTGTGCATGCTTTTTTTTTAATTTTCTTGTTTTCCATAAACTGAAATAATGTTTGTTTGCATATTAAAAACACTTTTAAAAGTTTTTTTTTATTGCGTGTTTATCATTAATTTGCGCGCGCTTTGCACATGTGTAAAATAAAAGTTTTTGAAAAATAACAATTGAATAAATTTATCAAGCATCTTTGATATATTTGATAACTTATTCACTAGAATAAAAATTATTTGAAATTTGTTTGACATAAATCTCTTAAATTAGACGTTCGTCAATAAATAAAGATACACAAGTCGACGTTCATTAAAAAAATGGTACCTCGTGCCCTGGGATAGAAAATAGTTGGCAAATGCAACTATTTCTAGATTATTGTAATTCTTTTTTTTTATTAAATAATTTCTTTATTAGAAATTATAGTTCCATGATAAAAAGGTTTTTAATTATTTTTTGAATTACTCATTTTTGCTTCTGTACTCGTTTTGCCTTAAACTCTAATCTGAATATTTTTTTCAATGATTGCTTTTATTAAGTTGCATTAAAGTACTCAGGAAATTTTGTGGCAGTTGGATTGTAATTATGGAATCAATTAAATTAAAAATCGCATTTGTTTTCTTTTAGCGCATTTTTTAAACGCGCTAAATATCAAAACTCGCATAAGGCCATGGTCAAGTTGTTAAAACAAAGAACTATATGCGTGGTCATATACAGTGTCCAATCACACGCCTCTTACGAAAAGGCCTGTCGATACTTTTGTAATTTTTTCCTACTTCAGGTAATAGCCATAAAATCTCTTTGTTTATTACTAGAGAATTGACGTTTTTTGGAGTTATAATGGCTTTGCCTTGTTCTGGCATTACTGATTGTCACCGTTGTCAATGTTGCAGTCTATTCCAAACCGTTGTCCATGCTGTTCGGTTGTTTCTTTTTCTCGTTGAATCCTTTTTTTAATTGCATTCAATGGCAAATCGTCTTTGCTTTCAGAAGTTGACGAATAAATATAATGTGAAGCCATTATGTATTAGCTTAGCAAAAATGAAGAAATCTCTTTAAAGAATACTAAATCAATTAACATCTGAAGGCGCTTATATATCTTTTGGTTTTTCTAGAAAGTTCTAAGGGGCAAAAGTTCGAAAAGTTGTAGAAACTTCAAAAAGTTCTAGAAACTTCAGAAATGTTCTAGGAACTTCGAAAAGTTCTAGAAACTTTAGAAAGGTTCTAGAAAGTTTGAGAAGTTCTAGAAACTTTGGAAAAGTTCTAGAAAGTTCTAACGCATATACATTTAAAATTTGCCGTCTGTTGTCATGACAGCGCAGACGGACAGGCGGCTCTGCTATATTATATATATATATATATATATATATATATATATATATATATATATATATATATATATATATATATATATATGTATATAATATATATATATATATATATATATATATATACATATATATATATATTTATATATATATATATATATTTATATATATATATATATATATATATATATATATATATATATATATATATATATATATATATATATATATATATATATCTTTAGATTATTTTTGCTTAATATTTTTAAAAGGATAATTTTGTTTCTTTCTTATCACCACCATTATTGTTTATCCATCCTCATTTGAAACCAGTGTCATTATAGAAAATTAGAGTTTGTAACATACCCTTAGTTAAAACAGAACAGGTTATTAACTGAAAAAAGTAAATCAAAAAATGTTTTAGATTTCTTTTTTTAAATACTTAATATTTTAAAGTACACTACTTTTTGGTATGAAATCAACAAATCGAAATTTCAAAATAAAACATGAAAATCAAAAAAATGATTATTATATAACTTTGAAAGTGTGTTTTTATCATAAATTTGACCTTATATGTAACAAATTTTCAAATATCTTAATTTTGTTATTTAATAAATAAAAATTTTCTTTCATTTTTTTATTTTAAAAACAATTGCTTTTAATGATTTACTATTTAAAAAAGTAATTTTAAATGCACAGTTAGGAACATAGTTACAAGCTTATTAAAAGTTCCATGTTGTTCCACATTCTGTTTTGGTTTGAATAATTTTTTAATTTATATTTAAAATAGCCCTCTTTTAAAGAGTTACTTTTAAGTAAAAGCATGTTAAATACATTTTTAATTCCTCTTTTTTTTTTATAAAAAATGTAGTTTTTAGAAATGTGTGTAAAAATACTCAATTAAGTATTTTTACTAAAATACTCAATCAAGTATCTCAATCAAAATACCGTAAGGATAAGACCGTAAGGACTTCTTGGGGCACCTAAAATCAACATAAAAAAATTAAAAAAAAAAAAAAAAGTATTTAAATAATTTATGGAGAGTATAAAGTCCCTTTATATCTTAAGCTAATGACATGATGGTTATAATGTGTTTAAGCTTGTATTTGTATGATAGTTATTATACAGTTGTGGTGTAGTAGTCGAGCGCTCATTTTGTGATTAGTGTCTCATCAAGTGATTAGTTCTGAGTTTGATCCCCACCATGTCCCTGGTAGTACTGCTCTCAATTTGTTTCTCCATGCAGCAACATTTTTTGTCAAGTTAGTGTTTTGGTGTTAAAGAGTTAAGAAAAGATATTAACCACAATAAAGTAACCTCCTCAACTGCAGTTGAGTTTGTTTCAGGTTTGTTCTGCGAAATGTTCTAGGTTTATGTTATGTTTTAGAAAAGGAACAATATGATTCACAACTGAGTTTTTTTTCCTTAGATTAACCTTTAAGGTTAATCCAATGTCTTTTATTTCATTGTTTTATTTTGTATTTATTTAAAAATATCAGCAAAGCTATTGATAATTGTTTCAAATTCTTTATTCAAATTCTTTCTAAAGCTATTTCTTTTACCAAATAAGATGATATCAAGTGTTAGTGAAATGTGGTTTGTTTAAAACATTTTTTTCACCACAGCTTGTTCAAGATGATTTGTTAAGTATTTTGATTTTTCCATCCAACTCCATGGTAGCCATGAAAAATTTTATGATATAAAAATTTTTTTTTGTAAATACAATGATTTTGATAATAAAGATAAAATCATTTTAATAAGTATAAAAAGTGTAATATGACAATTCATAATTATGGTTCATTTTTAGAGCACATTTTATTGCAAATAAATAAATAAATAATAATAATAATGATAATGATAATAATAAAGGTTTCAACAGTTTTTTAATTCATTTGTGATGGTAAGACTTTTTATATAAAACAATTTTTCTTTTCAGGGGTTATTCAGTGTCTTAAAAATTCCAAGTTTGTAGAGGAGGTAATTTTTTTTTTGAATTATAAAGTAGATTAGTAGTTTGAGTTTTATTTTTTTAACTTTTCCTATTATATCTCTTTTAAATTTAATATCCACGCTCTATTCTAAAGATGCTCTATTCTAAAGATGCAGGTTCATCCATTGTTAAACAACTAAGTTTTCAAATCCATTGTTAAACAACTAAGTTTTCAAATCCATTGTTAAACAACTAAGTTTTCAAATCCATTGTTAAACAACTAAGTTTTCAAATCCATTGTTAAACAACTAAGTTTTCAAATCCATTGTTAAACAACTAAGTTTTCAAATCCATTGTTAAACAACTAAGTTTTCAAATCCATTGTTAAACAACTAAGTTTTCAAATCCATTGTTAAACAACTAAGTTTTCAAATCCATTGTTAAACAACTAAGTTTTCAAATCCATTGTTAAACAACTAAGTTTTCAAATCCATTGTTAAACAACTAAGTTTTCAAATCCATTGTTAAACAACTAAGTTTTCAAATCCATTGTTAAACAACTAAGTTTTCAAATCCATTGTTAAACAACTAAGTTTTCAAATCCATTGTTAAACAACTAAGTTTTCAAATCCATTGTTAAACAACTAAGTTTTCAAATCCATTGTTAAACAACTAAGTTTTCAAATCCATTGTTAAACAACTAAGTTTTCAAATCCATTGTTAAACAACTAAGTTTTCAAATCCATTGTTAAACAACTAAGTTTTCAAATCCATTGTTAAACAAACTAAGTTTTCAAATCCATTGTTAAACAACTAAGTTTTCAAATCCATTGTTAAACAACTAAGTTTTCAAATCCATTGTTAAACAACTAAGTTTTCAAATCCATTGTTAAACAACTAAGTTTTCAAATCCATTGTTAAACAACTAAGTTTTCAAATCCATTGTTAAACAACTAAGTTTTCAAATCCATTGTTAAACAACTAAGTTTTCAAATCCATTGTTAAACAACTAAGTTTTCAAATCCATTGTTAAACAACTAAGTTTTCAAATCCATTGTTAAACAACTAAGTTTTCAAATCCATTGTTAAACAACTAAGTTTTCAAATCCATTGTTAAACAACTAAGTTTTCAAATCCATTGTTAAACAACTAAGTTTTCAAATCCATTGTTAAACAACTAAGTTTTCAAATCCATTGTTAAACAACTAAGTTTTCAAATCCATTGTTAAACAACTAAGTTTTCAAATCCATTGTTAAACAACTAAGTTTTCAAATCCATTGTTAAACAACTAAGTTTTCAAATCCATTGTTAAACAACTAAGTTTTCAAATCCATTGTTAAACAACTAAGTTTTCAAATCCATTGTTAAACAACTAAGTTTTCAAATCCATTGTTAAACAACTAAGTTTTCAAATCCATTGTTAAACAACTAAGTTTTCAAATCCATTGTTAAACAACTAAGTTTTCAAATCCATTGTTAAACAACTAAGTTTTCAAATCCATTGTTAAACAACTAAGTTTTCAAATCCATTGTTAAACAACTAAGTTTTCAAATCCATTGTTAAACAACTAAGTTTTCAAATCCATTGTTAAACAACTAAGTTTTCAAATCCATTGTTAAACAACTAAGTTTTCAAATCCATTGTTAAACAACTAAGTTTTCAAATCCATTGTTAAACAACTAAGTTTTCAAATCCATTGTTAAACAACTAAGTTTTCAAATCCATTGTTAAACAACTAAGTTTTCAAATCCATTGTTAAACAACTAAGTTTTCAAATCCATTGTTAAACAACTAAGTTTTCAAATCCATTGTTAAACAACTAAGTTTTCAAATCCATTGTTAAACAACTAAGTTTTCAAATCCATTGTTAAACAACTAAGTTTTCAAATCCATTGTTAAACAACTAAGTTTTCAAATCCATTGTTAAACAACTAAGTTTTCAAATCCATTGTTAAACAACTAAGTTTTCAAATCCATTGTTAAACAACTAAGTTTTCAAATCCATTGTTAAACAACTAAGTTTTCAAATCCATTGTTAAACAACTAAGTTTTCAAATCCATTGTTAAACAACTAAGTTTTCAAATCCATTGTTAAACAACTAAGTTTTCAAATCCATTGTTAAACAACTAAGTTTTCAAATCCATTGTTAAACAACTAAGTTTTCAAATCCATTGTTAAACAACTAAGTTTTCAAATCCATTGTTAAACAACTAAGTTTTCAAATCCATTGTTAAACAACTAAGTTTTCAAATCCATTGTTAAACAACTAAGTTTTCAAATCCATTGTTAAACAACTAAGTTTTCAAATCCATTGTTAAACAACTAAGTTTTCAAATCCATTGTTAAACAACTAAGTTTTCAAATCCATTGTTAAACAACTAAGTTTTCAAATCCATTGTTAAACAACTAAGTTTTCAAATCCATTGTTAAACAACTAAGTTTTCAAATCCATTGTTAAACAACTAAGTTTTCAAATCCATTGTTAAACAACTAAGTTTTCAAATCCATTGTTAAACAACTAAGTTTTCAAATCCATTGTTAAACAACTAAGTTTTCAAATCCATTGTTAAACAACTAAGTTTTCAAATCCATTGTTAAACAACTAAGTTTTCAAATCCATTGTTAAACAACTAAGTTTTCAAATCCATTGTTAAACAACTAAGTTTTCAAATCCATTGTTAAACAACTAAGTTTTCAAATCCATTGTTAAACAACTAAGTTTTCAAATCCATTGTTAAACAACTAAGTTTTCAAATCCATTGTTAAACAACTAAGTTTTCAAATCCATTGTTAAACAACTAAGTTTTCAAATCCATTGTTAAACAACTAAGTTTTCAAATCCATTGTTAAACAACTAAGTTTTCAAATCCATTGTTAAACAACTAAGTTTTCAAATCCATTGTTAAACAACTAAGTTTTCAAATCCATTGTTAAACAACTAAGTTTTCAAATCCATTGTTAAACAACTAAGTTTTCAAATCCATTGTTAAACAACTAAGTTTTCAAATCCATTGTTAAACAACTAAGTTTTCAAATCCATTGTTAAACAACTAAGTTTTCAAATCCATTGTTAAACAACTAAGTTTTCAAATCCATTGTTAAACAACTAAGTTTTCAAATCCATTGTTAAACAACTAAGTTTTCAAATCCATTGTTAAACAACTAAGTTTTCAAATCCATTGTTAAACAACTAAGTTTTCAAATCCATTGTTAAACAACTAAGTTTTCAAATCCATTGTTAAACAACTAAGTTTTCAAATCCATTGTTAAACAACTAAGTTTTCAAATCCATTGTTAAACAACTAAGTTTTCAAATCCATTGTTAAACAACTAAGTTTTCAAATCCATTGTTAAACAACTAAGTTTTCAAATCCATTGTTAAACAACTAAGTTTTCAAATCCATTGTTAAACAACTAAGTTTTCAAATCCATTGTTAAACAACTAAGTTTTCAAATCCATTGTTAAACAACTAAGTTTTCAAATCCATTGTTAAACAACTAAGTTTTCAAATCCATTGTTAAACAACTAAGTTTTCAAATCCATTGTTAAACAACTAAGTTTTCAAATCCATTGTTAAACAACTAAGTTTTCAAATCCATTGTTAAACAACTAAGTTTTCAAATCCATTGTTAAACAACTAAGTTTTCAAATCCATTGTTAAACAACTAAGTTTTCAAATCCATTGTTAAACAACTAAGTTTTCAAATCCATTGTTAAACAACTAAGTTTTCAAATCCATTGTTAAACAACTAAGTTTTCAAATCCATTGTTAAACAACTAAGTTTTCAAATCCATTGTTAAACAACTAAGTTTTCAAATCCATTGTTAAACAACTAAGTTTTCAAATCCATTGTTAAACAACTAAGTTTTCAAATCCATTGTTAAACAACTAAGTTTTCAAATCCATTGTTAAACAACTAAGTTTTCAAATCCATTGTTAAACAACTAAGTTTTCAAATCCATTGTTAAACAACTAAGTTTTCAAATCCATTGTTAAACAACTAAGTTTTCAAATCCATTGTTAAACAACTAAGTTTTCAAATCCATTGTTAAACAACTAAGTTTTCAAATCCATTGTTAAACAACTAAGTTTTCAAATCCATTGTTAAACAACTAAGTTTTCAAATCCATTGTTAAACAACTAAGTTTTCAAATCCATTGTTAAACAACTAAGTTTTCAAATCCATTGTTAAACAACTAAGTTTTCAAATCCATTGTTAAACAACTAAGTTTTCAAATCCATTGTTAAACAACTAAGTTTTCAAATCCATTGTTAAACAACTAAGTTTTCAAATCCATTGTTAAACAACTAAGTTTTCAAATCCATTGTTAAACAACTAAGTTTTCAAATCCATTGTTAAACAACTAAGTTTTCAAATCCATTGTTAAACAACTAAGTTTTCAAATCCATTGTTAAACAACTAAGTTTTCAAATCCATTGTTAAACAACTAAGTTTTCAAATCCATTGTTAAACAACTAAGTTTTCAAATCCATTGTTAAACAACTAAGTTTTCAAATCCATTGTTAAACAACTAAGTTTTCAAATCCATTGTTAAACAACTAAGTTTTCAAATCCATTGTTAAACAACTAAGTTTTCAAATCCATTGTTAAACAACTAAGTTTTCAAATCCATTGTTAAACAACTAAGTTTTCAAATCCATTGTTAAACAACTAAGTTTTCAAATCCATTGTTAAACAACTAAGTTTTCAAATCCATTGTTAAACAACTAAGTTTTCAAATCCATTGTTAAACAACTAAGTTTTCAAATCCATTGTTAAACAACTAAGTTTTCATCCATTGTTAAACAACTAAGTTTTCAAATCCATTGTTAAACAACTAAGTTTTCAAATCCATTGTTAAACAACTAAGTTTTCATCCATTGTTAAACAACTAAGTTACATTGTTAAACAACTAAGTTTTCATCCATTGTTAAACAACTAAGTTACATTGTTAAACAACTAAGTTTTCAAATCCATTGTTAAACAACTAAGTTTTCAAATCCATTGTTAAACAACTAAGTTTTCAAATCCATTGTTAAACAACTAAGTTTTCAAATCCATTGTTAAACAACTAAGTTTTCAAATCCATTGTTAAACAACTAAGTTTTCAAATCCATTGTTAAACAACTAAGTTTTCAAATCCATTGTTAAACAACTAAGTTTTCATCCATTGTTAAACAACTAAGTTACATTGTTAAACAACTAAGTTTTCAAATCCATTGTTAAACAACTAAGTTTTCAAATCCATTGTTAAACAACTAAGTTTTCAAATCCATTGTTAAACAACTAAGTTTTCAAATCCATTGTTAAACAACTAAGTTTTCAAATCCATTGTTAAACAACTAAGTTTTCAAATCCATTGTTAAACAACTAAGTTTTCATCCATTGTTAAACAACTAAGTTACATTGTTAAACAACTAAGTTTTCAAATCCATTGTTAAACAACTAAGTTTTCAAATCCATTGTTAAACAACTAAGTTTTCAAATCCATTGTTAAACAACTAAGTTTTCAAATCCATTGTTAAACAACTAAGTTTTCAAATCCATTGTTAAACAACTAAGTTTTCAAATCCATTGTTAAACAACTAAGTTTTCATCCATTGTTAAACAACTAAGTTACATTGTTAAACAACTAAGTTTTCAAATCCATTGTTAAACAACTAAGTTTTCAAATCCATTGTTAAACAACTAAGTTTTCATCCATTGTTAAACAACTAAGTTTTCAAATCCATTGTTAAACAACTAAGTTTTCATCCATTGTTAAACAACTAAGTTACATTGTTAAACAACTAAGTTTTCAAATCCATTGTTAAACAACTAAGTTTTCAAATCCATTGTTAAACAACTAAGTTTTCAAATCCATTGTTAAACAACTAAGTTTTCAAATCCATTGTTAAACAACTAAGTTTTCAAATCCATTGTTAAACAACTAAGTTTTCAAATCCATTGTTAAACAACTAAGTTTTCATCCATTGTTAAACAACTAAGTTACATTGTTAAACAACTAAGTTTTCAAATCCATTGTTAAACAACTAAGTTTTCAAATCCATTGTTAAACAACTAAGTTTTCATCCATTGTTAAACAACTAAGTTACATTGTTAAACAACTAAGTTTTCATCCATTGTTAAACAACTAAGTTACATTGTTAAACAACTAAGTTTTCATCCATTGTTAAACAACTAAGTTACATTGTTAAACAACTAAGTTTTCATCCATTGTTAAACAACTAAGTTACATTGTTAAACAACTACTGCTTCTGTTGTTAAAGTAAACTCTTCTACAGCATGTGTTCCGTATATTTCGCAGTTTTACAAAAATGTTTTTCAGAACATTCTTCTGTAACTATTTAGTAAGTGCTTATCTGAATTTTTTTTTCTATTCTTCGTTAAAAATAGAACCTGTGTTTCTAGGTTATATACTTCTTTCATACTTAAAGCCCTCTCTCTCTTAGACAAGTCTTAAAAAAAAATTGCTTTGAAAAACTGGTAAATATTTGTAAATGTTGTTGGATCTGCTTTTGCTGCTAAGCTTGAGGATCTGTCCCATTTTTAAATTTTTTTTTGTAAATTTGCATCTTTTTCTACAAATACATGATTGCTGTTCAAGCAAGCTACCAGTTTTTTCAGCAATATTAGTGCTCGGAAATTTTCTCTAATATTTTGACACATACAATTTACAGTCTTCAAACTCTTCTTAGTTCTTTGTCTTCTGTTAATGGATAAATTAATTTGTGGTTGGTTACAGTCTTGTTTGTAATTTTACTTTTTAAAAAGGAACAATATATAAGAAGCGAAATAGAAGCAGTAAACCTAAAGAAGGTTTACCGGTTCTATTTCGTAAGTTAAGCAGTGAAATTTATGAGCAAGTTTTCTTCTATTGTGATTTTCTATTAAACTTTTTATTGTGATAATCTGCTATTATATTAAAAAAAATCTGACTATCAACAGCATGGATTCTGAATACTAACCATGTCAATGCTGACATCAATTGAAGTGTTGGTTTACAGTCGGAACATATCCCTCAAAGTGAAATGTTGGCAGTGGGAACCATCTTTAAATTTACTGATTGTACTGCTAATAATAATTTCCTGCACAATTGTACTTATGTATGCCTATTTTTTTGATAAATATTTACACTTGTAAATTATTACAAAATTAAAGGATTATTTATACTTTTGATTGTGCTTTTAACTTCTTGAATATTGGAATGAAAACAAAAGATGTCTTAAAAAGTTTTATTTAAAAAAAAACCTTTTTACCTGTAGTAAAACCTTTTTTTTACAGGATTCATTTGAAGTGAAGGGTGACCCAAGTGATGGCCATGAAGAAATTCCTGCTCAATATCGAATAGCTGCTACAAATAGGGTATATATATTTATAATAATAGTTTAAGGGCTTTTAAATTACACATTTTTGAATTGTTTAGGTACACTCTAGTTTTAGACATTAACATTATTTTTTGATTTTGATTTTTAGACATAACTTTATTTTTATATAAATATTGTTGAGCCAAATAGAATACATATAGTTTTACCAAATAATTTGCATATATTCAGTGATGATTTCTTTAAATGTCTGATGATTTCTTCAAATGTCTTTCAGTTTAATGGCTGTTATGTGTGTGTTTTGCAGTCCTAGACCATATCACTGAAGTCCTTTCAAAATATCAAGAAATATCAAAAAATGTATTTCAAGATTTTTATTATTTTTATTAAAAAAAATAAAAGAAAAAAATGGTTTCTTGAAATGTAAAAGATTGTTGATACTTACTGATACATAGCAAAAAGACAAAAAAAAAAATCTAGGGTTCTAGCTCTTATAATCAAGTTTTTGGCCTTGATATGGTAACATTAAGTCTTTGTTTTTTTTTTGTTCTTGGTTGTTCTTTGTTTGTTTTTTTGTTCTTGGTTGTTTTTGGTTTTTAATTATTCTTGATTATTTTTGGTTGTTGATTGGTTGATTTTGGTTCTCAATTGTTTTTCATTTGCTATTATATCTAGTAAAATTTTTTTTTTTTTTTTTGTATTTTTTAAAATAACATTTCAGATTTTTTTTTTTTTTTGATTATTGCACAGCAATGCAAAATATTTGTAGATTTGAAGCTGTTTTGATGTATTTTATTTGCATATTAAAGAAGAATTATTAAAATAAAGCCATTTCTTGACTATATTTTAATAATTTTTCCGATTTTTTGATTTTTCAGGATGTTTATTGGTTATTATTGTGACTTGTTGAAAATGATTTGGTTCACATATTATTTTTCTAGAAAAATCTTTTATCTGGATATTGTATTTGGGTTCAGGGAACATTTCAAAGGAGTCCTATAAAAAAAGGTGAGCAAATAAATGTATAACATAAGCAAAGTAATCATTCAAAATTATAACATGTAAAAATGTTGTAGTTAAAGATGTAACAAAAAAAGGTGAACAAGTATAAAGGTTTTAAATGGTGCAAAAAATTTTTTTAACTATTGGATTATTAACAGAACACTAAAAATATGTTATTCAGATTTTTTTGTTTTTATATTATGGTATTTAAATGGTAGTTAACAATTGACAAGACAGCCAGTGGTATACGTCTAAGTAACCTATATCACCCACATCTGTTCTATGTACTCCATATATTGTCATTATATAATGTTCTATGTACTCCATATATTGTCATCCATATATGTTAGTGTATTTTACAAAAAGAGTGCTCAATGTTTTTTATAAATGATTTAAATAATCTGTCATATTCTGTAATCAGGAAGTTACATGAACTACAGTATTTTTGTAAAAATTAATTGTGAAAAGAACTTTTTTAGAATATGGATAATTTTAGTTTGGTTATTTGTTTTTATAATTTCTTGCAAGAATAATCTGAAAAAAAAAAATTAAATATAAACAGAATTTCTATATGCAGACAAGAAAAGAAGTTTTTAAAAATTATAAAATCAAAACAATCAAACATTTTCTGGAGACATCATCCCAGGCACAAGCAGTTTTTAGAAGAGATCAGTTTAATTCAAAATTAATTTTTTTTTCATTTAGATCCCAAATAAATAATAATAATAATTAATAAATTTTGACAGCATAGTGTCTTTTATGTTTTTTTTTTTGGTTTTATTTGTGGTTAGTAAAAAAAAAATTTCAATTTAACCTGGGATAAGCTGATATATAGTTTTGTCTGGGTTAAGCTGATATACTGTTTTGATATACTGTTAAGTCAATATACTGTTTTTCAGAGTTATTTTATGAAGAAACAATGTATTTGTAAATAATAGTTTAGTAATGACCTTCGTTTGAAAATAAGTAATGACCTTGGTTTGAAAGTAACTAAAAAGTCATTTATTTAATTTTTTCAGGTCAATTACTCGCTAGGTCATTTACTCGCCTATTTATCACTCTAATTTATATTATTTTTAATCAATCTATATTTATTTTTTATTAGCTTATTTGTTAAATAACTAGCAAAAGGCAACCCGTAATACGGGTTTTGGTCGGTCTGTTACATAATTAATTTATAGTAGCTGTTTTCCACAATTTAATCTTGCAAAACCTTAACTAATACCCTTTTAGAAAATTGCCTTCAGCTTGAAAAAATTAATCCATCTGTAAAATTAACATAAAAATTATGAGGAGGTAAAATAATTTACCAACTACTACTTAACATTATTAAGTAATTTACAAATGGCACAGGTCATAACAGTGTAAGGCAGAACCATTTTCATCGACCTTCCTAAGTTTAACACAATACGTTTTTAGTTACTGACGCAAAATAATAACACTTGGTTATACTTTAAATTGACGAAAGTGTCAACTAAATCCTTAAAATAATTTTTATAACACGAACCATTAAGATTAAAATGAAGTTAACTTATATTATACAGGAGTTATCAATTTTTTGTTATCCCCTTGATTAATTGTTCTTTAGAAAAGAAAATTGTTAACTCAAAAATGTTAAATGCACACGTTTAAATAAATTTATAAAAAATAACAAAGTTTATTATAACTACGCAACTGAGTACAAATACCTTTCAAACAAAAAAAAATTTAATTTACGATCAAACATAGGTATAACAAATTTTTTAATACATTAATGCATCATAGAACAAACTAAAATAAAAATTATAAGAGATAAGTAGACATAAAAATTTGTAAACCAAGCTGACCCGACCCGGGTCTTGTTAAGTCTGTTCAACACAGACCATTTGTATATTATTTATTTGGCCTCTTTATTTCATTAAATTTTTAGTAAACGGTAATTTGCCACCATTTACTAAAAATTCCTTTTGTAACTCGAAATTTAATTTTTCTAAATATTTTGGCTCTAATAAAGAGGTTCCTTCCCTCTTTTTGCTTTAATGGTGGGCTGGTGAATAAAATAAAATATTAAAATGTAAAACAATGATCTACTTATATAAAAATGTTTTCTTTCTTTCCTCAAAAGTGTTGAGGAAAGAAATACAGACTAAGCTAACTAATTAGTTAAACACATAAATAAAACTTAAGTAACTCGATATTAATGCGCAAAACTACAATATTCTCCATATTTTTAAAGGTTTTTAGTTACGACCGCCCATTCAACCCATACGACCCCCCAATCAATTCTCTCTCTACAATTCTCAATACTAATTCTTATTTAAGTCTCATCTAATAGAGAGAGGAAGTGTTTTAAAAACACCATGTTAGAAAAAGTAAAAAAGTCATGCAATAAATAACAGTAACTGGTTTTATTATGCTACCAATAAACAAAATTATTTTTACCTTAACTAAAAGTTAATTTCCAGCATTTCTTAATTTATTTCCAGCTTCTAACTGTTGACAAATGATTAATATTTTGAATTTCACATCATATTAAATTTACAAAATTAAAACCATGTTTCAACAGTAAGCAAAATAATCAAGTGATGACAAAGACAACTAAAAAAAAAATGAACAATTATATTAAGATTACAAAAGTAAAAAAAAAAAAAAAAAAAAAAAAAATCATTTAAAACTGAAATTTTTATTATTTGTTACTATAAATAGTAAAATTCATACTTTGCTTTATTTTAAAGTGTCTAATGTAAAGTCAAATAATAGACATCAACAGCGCTTGACACTGAATTATGCCAAGTAAGTTTTTGGTTCATCAAGCAAAATTTCTTATATTTCAACGACAATTAATTTTATCATGCCTAGATCTATTTCTTTCATATGACAACAATTTCAAGTCACCTATAACCATTTACACTAATAACTTCTTCGAGCCTAATATTATAAATCTGTTATCATTAAATATATATTACCAGTGGTTATGCTACTGTTACAACTGAATAAATGAACGTTTTATATTTTTACAACTGAAAAATATAAAACAAAATTTATTTACATTATTTTAATTTAGCAAAGAATTTAGAACACAGTGCAAAGTTATTTGCATTGTGTTCTAAATTCTTTGCTAAATTAAGAATACCTTCAGGCACAATCTTAATGCACAAAAATAATAAATGCAGAATCTTGTATAAAAAATGAAGCAATGTCAGTCTAAAGTAATATATATGTATGTATATATATTCAAATTTTTTCTATTCTTAATTTTTTCTGAGATAATATTCATATAGATTCAGAGAAATATAAAATATTCCGATATAAAGGCACATTTAAGTATATAAACTTACCTGTCAAAAATTACAGTCAGTTTTTCATGTTAAATACATAAAATATATATCTAATATAAAATTAAACAAAAAATTAAACTTACTCAAATCAGTAACAGTTCGACTGTCTAAATATTTTATTATTAACCCTTCTATTTAAAAAATAAAAACAAATGATTTGAAGTAACTAAAAAGCACTTTAGCTCTTTCCAATTGCACTAAAAAATAAAATAAATCTTGCTTGCTAAGTTGATTAATTCTTAAGAATCTGATAACAAATAAGTAAAAAACCAAGAACAAACAAACATTTATTTACTAAAACTACTCTATTTAAACAAATTAAAATATACAGAGAGCAACATTGATACTCCTTGAAAGCTGAAAAACTTTTTATCTCAAATTTGCTTGTAGACCTTGCTTATGAAACCACTTGAATAAGAAAAGCATCAAAAAAGCCTAGAAGCTGGTATATGCTACATTGAATTTCAAATGTTGATTGGTGTAGATATTTTTAAAAAATTCAAAATGATTTGTTCTTCTATAGCAAATAAATACACCATAAATCTGAAGTTAAAAATGTAATGAATAAGTAAATACAAAGAAAAACATTATATGTGAATTAAAAATCAATGTACCTGATAGAGATAAGCTGCGGTGATACCTGAGTAGTATCACCACATACACGTATTTATCAAAAAAATTTTAACTTTGGTCATAATATAAATGCAAACATATATGCAAACTTTTAACAACTATAAAAGAACATTTATTAGCATCAATTATTTTTAATGTAACAAAGAATGCAGACTACAATGCACGACATTGTTAATAAAAATGAAGTTATGTCAGTCAGTATATATTTATCTAAAGTAGTGAAAAAGAATAAACCATTTAAAAACAAAATTAAAAATTTTTAATGAATATATATTTAGATACCTTAAAATGAAGCATAACACAACACTCTTTTGACAAATTCCAGAGCAAATTTTTAAAATTTTTCTATTCCTTATTATTTTATTCCTTATATCGATAAAATACATATTAAATGCCACATTCAACTAATGTAATTAATACCTTTATTAGATCTCTCTTGATTAACTAAAGAATTTAAATTTTAAATAAACTCTAACTAAATTTTAACAAACAAACAACCAAAATAAATCTTCATATTAATAGTACGTTATTAAGTTGATTAATAGATCAAACAATTTAATCTACTCTAATAATCTACTACCTTGTTAATAAACTTTAATTTTTTTTCTACGACTCAGTGTAACTATAATATAGATATTTTTAAAGTAAAAAAGAATTTAATATTATAATATATATGATTTTAAAAACCTGAAATTTTAAATCTACCTCGAAGAAAACAGATATATATTGAAAAGTATTTTTATTTCTTTTTAAAAATTTAAATATGCTTTATAACTTACTTGTTTCGATATTATCACCAACGTCTAAATAGAAAAACAAACAAACATTCAAGTCGACTCATTTGTAAATCTTATAATATATATGATTTAAAAAACCTGAAATTTTAAATCTACCTCGAAGAAAACAGATATATAATAAAAAGTATTTTTATTTCTTTTTAAAAATTTTAAAATGCTTTATAACTTACCTGTTTCATATTATTACCAACGTCTAAATAGAAAAACAAAGATATATGAGTTATATATAGGATTTTAAAATATATATGATTTTAAAAAACTGAAACTTTAAATCTACCTCAAAGAAAACAAAGAAAAAATTTCTTTTTAAAAATTTAAAAATGCTTTTTAACTTACTTGCTTCAATATTGTCATCATCTAAATAGAAAAAAAAACAAACATTAAAGTCGACTTATTCTTAAATCTAGTTTAATTTCTTCAATAATAAAAAAAATTTAATCTTTGAGGATTAAATTCATTTACAAAAATCCGTTTAAACCATTTTAACATTGTAAAGTTAATTTAAAGTTTTAAAAAACTGAAACTTTAATTCTACCTCAAAGAAAACAGATATATATTGAAAAGTATTTTTATTTCTTTTTAAAAATTTAAAAAGACTTCTAAACTTACTCCCTCCAATATAATTATATAATATATATAGTATATATGATAAATAAACCTCCACAATTTCCTTGGTTTAACAACTCGATTATGATTTATAACAACTCTGTAAACATGAATTTTCTAATAACCTAAATAAATTACAGATAGACAAACATAAACTAACACAATTAAATCCTAAACCAAAATTCATTCATGCAAGACAAATAATTTTATATTTATTGAAGAGCCAGAAACATATTTTTTTTCAAAGAGCTAAAGTATTAACAATATTAAAGACAAATTTTATTTATAACAAAATTTTCAATAAAAATTAAATTAAGATAAATTTATAACAAAATGTTGTCATGGCTTTTATCCAATAACCAAAACTAAGTGAAAGCATGAAACTACCCATAAATATATTTTAACGCTAGACACAAATTAAGAATTAAAGTAATCTATAACACGAAGCTTTAAATTTAAAATTACAATTTAAAAAAGATTACAATAAATTAATTACTTTTAAATTAAAAAAAAAATTTAGATTACCTATAATTTGAAGCTACTAAACATTATTTACTTAATGTCAACTTAGATATTTTGAACTCGTACCATGAAAGGTTGAAGGGAAATCTGTAAGTAAGCACGCGGTAAAGAAAAGTCTAGAAACTACTTAAAAAGTGTATTTTACAGATACAGAACCGTACCGTAACTATAAAACAATACGCGTAACTATGCGCACTATTAATATTCATAGGCTATTCATTATAGGCGATTATATTTGTTGAAAATACAACTTTTTATTTACAATAAACCTGTAAACATAGACTGCTAAATATTTTGAATAATTATTAGAGTCGTCATAATTTTTTATTAACATATGAGATATCTAACTGTGCTTTTTATAATTTTTTTTTGTTGTTTTAATTTTTTTACCACTTTCTCCAGGTTCAAAGTAGTTTAAATTTGAAATTTTTTTTTAGATTTCTGAATTATTTTATTTGTATAGAGGGAAACAAAATTATATTTGTTTTTGCTTGATATCTCATAAGGATAAATATAAGTTCAATACTTTTTTTAATAATAATATAAATAAATTAATGTTATAACAATATAAATTTCATAAAAATTCACCTTTGAATAAGTCTTAAATTTGCACTTTTAGTATAACTTGATTTAGACTAAATCAAAATTTAACTTAGTATTGTATAATTTTTTTTTGTATTTAATTAAAATTATTTCCAGATCAATTGGTAATGCTGATAAAAAAACTTGGTGCTGAAGTTGTATTTACTTTAGATGAAGATGATAAATATATTCGACATATCAAGGTAAACATTTAACCATTGTTAAAATTATTTATATTTTTATTTTACATTCTTATATTAATTATATGTACTTTTTTTAACTGATAACTATATATATTATATATTAACTATATTTATTATTATTTAAATAAGTTCCATTAAAAAAAAAAATACAAAAAGGTGATTTTTTTTGTAACGCTGAGATCAGTCATATTCAATAATACATTACACAGTTATACCAAATGTTATGTATTTTTAAATTTAATTGAAATGAAAATAAGGAAGATAAATAATCAGGTTGAAAATGTTAATAATTCAATTTCCAAAGAAGAAGAAAAAAGGAAAGTTTTCGGGGAAAAAAAAAGTTTTCGAAAAAAAAATTATTATAATATGAATATTTTTCATGTTTGCAGTATACAGTGGCAAAAGAAACTCCACACTGTATTAGTTTTTTATGTTGTTGTATATGTTATGCTGAATAAATGTTTAAATATATTTAAATTTTTACTTTTTTTTTTTGGAAAAATATTCTTAAATATTCAAAAGGTGCAAATATAATAAATTTTTTAAGGTTTGCAGGTTATTTTTTTTTTTTTTTTTAATTTTTTTTTTTATATTTCCATTCACTCCCAACAAGGCTGCAAGCAACCACTATTAAGTTGGGAGTTACTAGGAAAAAAAAAGAACAGAGTTATAGAGCAAGGAAACGGTTGACAGAAGATTTGAAAAGTTGAAGGTTGTATGAGTCAGGAAAACATGAAGATGGGAGAGAGTTCCATAGGATTGAAGTGCGGGGAAAAAGACTAGATGAATAAAAGTTTTTAGAGCATGCAGGGACAGATACAGTAAACGAATGAGACTTAGCTGAATGACGAGTAAAAAAATTCTTTAAGGTTAAAATTTAAATTCTTTAAGGTTTTAATGTGTTCAGCTTTGTAAAGAATTTAAAAATTCTACACCATTGAAGAGAATTTCAAGATCATTTAAAGCATAATCTTTATAAATATCTTTTACAGATAATTCTTGCATAATATTTCTGGACCTTATCAATCCAATGTAAATCTTTATAAAGATTTTACACTGGGGTACATGGCTCTAAATTCAGTTGAACATAAAATTTGCAGGCTCTTATTAAAAGTTTGAAAATATACTAATAGATTATTTTAAAGGAACAAGAGATTTAAAAGAACAAGAGGTTACTTTGCTCATAAAAAAATTTGTTAGAAAAGTTTACATTGAAATTATGTCAATATCCAGGATTGAGATTCAATTGGCTTATTATTGTTTAATGATCAAGAATGTAAATCTAAAGGATTTTTTTTCAATGACCACGAGTTTAAAGTAGTGATGTACCGTTGGAAAAGGCTGATTGTGGCTAATAATAGGTTTAATGTATTTTTGTAAGGGTATTATAATAACATTAAGGATTTAAATTACATGTATGACATGTATCTATACACCAGCAGTGATTTGACCAACTTATTAGTTGATGCCATTAGCTGATTAATTGGCTGATGGCATCAATTGATTAATCGGCATTGGCAAATAAGCCAAACCAAACTGGTGCATAGGCGCACCTATTTGCAAATTGCATACCTAATATTAAGATATTAACCTTTATATACATTAAACTCAATTGGCCATCGGTACATCACTAGTTTAAAGGTAACGTATTCTTTTTAATTAGCATAAGTGTAAAAGTAAATGATTCTTTCCATAGCGTAAACTTTTTTTAATAGATAATTTATCAAATAATTGAGTTGAGAATTACTGTCAACTCTATTTTTTGACTAAATGTCTACTAAAAAATGGTCAAATAATTGAGTTGATCATTATTACTTGATCATTCTGAATTTTTTTTTTCTAATTCTGACAAATTGTATATTATTTCTTTGTATTTTTTTTTTGTTTGATACAATTTGCTGTTGTCTACAATCAGCTTGATACCACAAGCGGCCACAATACAGGAAATTACATGGCTTAAGATGAAATGGTTTCTAAATAGTATTTTTTACAAAATTCTTTTTACAAGACAAACTGCCTTCTCTTTACGAGACAAACTACATTCTCTTTACAAGAATGTAGTTTAATACGAGTTATCAATATAAACATATTGAGAACAATTTGTTAAGCTAATAAAGTAGCAGTGCTGTTTGAACAGTAACTTAAAAGTAAACAGAGAAATAACAAAAGTATTATTTTTTAAGAAAAACGGACTACATTTGCAACCAATCAAATGGCAACCACTGCATATGCTGCAAAGTATAATTTACATGAAAGTATTATTTTTTTAAATGAATCAGATTGCTACTTTTAATTGCGAGGAACCAATTAACTTACCCCATTTTCTAATATCCTTCAAAGTAGAATTTATTTTAACAAGTTTTGTAAAATAAATTTTGCAACTTTTGCAAAGCATAGTTTTTACTGAAAGCCATTTTTTAAAAATATTTTCTAATAAAAATATAAAGATCTAATATTAGGCGAGTGGTTGATGTTAAAATGCAAATATTTATATTTATTTTTTTACCTTGTCACTTGCAGGATTTAGCAGGGTTTAAATCTGCCTTCTGTGGTTCTTATGCATTAATTATCTCAACGTTTTGATAATATTAGATATTTTTTTGATGTTCATATCATTGCTAAGTTACTCATCTCTACCATCAAAAAAGCATGTGGTGATATTAAAAAAAAATTATCTAGCTTAACCATCAAAAATTTATTTTAGCTAATTTTTTGAAATTAATCAAGTCAGCTTATGTTTTTATTTGTTTCTATATTTTTACTATATTTAAGAATAGTATTGAGAGAGATCTGACTCAGATAAAACTCAATTTTTTTCAGCTAAATTTTATTGCAATAACCTATATTTATGAACGATAATGTATTCCATGAGTCATCTACCTTTTGTCTTCTAGGATTAACTCTTACTCCTGATCTTTCTTGGAAACCATATATAAAATCAATTGCAAAACTAGTATCTGCTAAGGTTGCATCACTTTATTGTGCGCGTCTTTGTATGGAATACTGTTGCCATATCTGGAACGGATCTTTTAATGATGTCTTTTCCCGCTCAGACATGTTGCAAAATACATTGTAAACATAGTTGGATCTGTTCTTGGAGCCAACCGCCATTATCACACCGTTGTAATGTTGCTTCTCTTTTTCTTTTTTATAAATACTATAATGGGCTAGCGTCTTTTATGCCATCTACTAAAATTTATTCTTGTGACTCATCATTCTATTCTCATCCTTTTACTGTGACTGTTCCTAAGTACTTTAAAAATTTTTATTCAGCCAGTTTTTTTCCTTGTTCTTAGTTCTTTGGAATTCACTTCCTTCAATTTGTTGTCCTGATTCATATAATTTGTTATATTTTAAGTTGTCTGTCAATTGTTATCTAGCTCTACAAACTTCATTTTTTCTTCTCCAATAACTTCCAACTCTAATAGTGGTTGCTTGCAGCCTTGTTAGGTAAAGATGTTGAAAAAAAAGTCTTTTTTTAATTGTCTTTGTAATAAACAAAACATCAAGTTAGATGTTTTTTATACAATATTTAAATTCCTGAAAAAATAATCTTCCAAGGTTATACTAAAATGTTTGTCAGTTTAAATGTACAGGTGTATCAAGTATTTGAGAATATATTAGATAAAAGCTAAAAAATATATATTTCTTAGAATGATTATTTTATTTGAATTAAACTACAAAAAGACAAATACCATTTTAAAAAAAGTTATTTAATGAGATTGCCCTCAGAGGTGTTAACAGTTTCTTTGTAAAAATTGTGTACATGCTCTATTCAAATCGTTCTTGTCCTATTTGTGTTATTAATATAGTATTATCTGCTTCTAAGAATTCATGGGTGTTTTTTTTTTTTGTGGAGGGGGGGGGATCTTTATTAACAATCAACAATCTCTCATACATAATAATCCAATGGATTATGATCTGAAGAGTTACAATGTCAAATATTTGGGGTTATGTGATTGTACAGGTTTTCAGACATTTTATTTTGTGTCACTGCGGCCTTATGCGAAGAATTAATGTTGAAATATGGTCTCTCACAATGCACGCTATCCAGTTTCATGACTGTTTTGAAGAGCACAATGTGAGCAGCAGCATTCACCTAATGTCTTTTGGAGTTAAAAGTATGGTAGCATGATATACCCATCACTGTTTACCACACCTAAAATCATTACTTTTACTGGAAACATCATGTGTATCACATAGGAATCTTTGTAGGATTTAGACAACTTTAAATTGTTTTGTCAGTTTTGTTTTTTTAATCCTGAACAAAATGTTTTATTCTGAGAAAAATCAGAGCAAACAGAACAAGTTACAGACCAAGTTACCTTAAATACCTTAAGTTACAGACCAAGTTACCTTAAATACCTTGAAAATGATAAATTGCACTGTTAACTGGCTATAGAAAAGTTATTTATGTTCAAAAACATAAGTATCTTGAGGTGTATTATGAAGTATCTTGAGGTGTATCGTGAGATGTATCATGAGGTATCTTGAGGTGTATCGTGAGGTATCTTGAGGTGTGTCGTAAGGTATCTTAAGGTGTATTGTAAGGTATCTTGAGGTGTATCGTTAGGTATCTTGAGGTGTATTGTGAGGTATCTTGAGGTGTATCATGAGGTATCTTGAGGTGTATTGTGAGGTATCTTGAGGTGTATCATGAGGTATCTTGTGGTGTATTGTGAGGTATCTTGAGGTGTATCATGAGGTATCTTGAGGTGTATCGTAAGGTATCTTGAGGTGTATCGTGAGGTATCTTGAGGTGTATCATGAGGTATCTTGAGATGTATTGTAAGGTATCTTGAGGTGTATTGTGAGGTATCTTAAGGTGTATCGTGAGGTATCTTGAGATGTATTGTGAGGTATCTTGAGGTGTATCGTGAGGTATCTTGGGTTAAAAGCAAATTTCTATGATTATTTATATGCATTTTTCATGCAAGAAATCAAGGTTTTCTTGCATGAAAAATAAAACTTTAAATTTTTATTGTATTTTATTTGGAAAC